AGCCTCCCAAGTAGCTGGGATTACAGGCGCCCACCACCATGCCTGGCTAATTTTTGTATTTTTAGTAGAGACAGGGTTTCACCATATTGGCCAGGCTGGACTTGAACTCCTGACCTCATGCTGGCACCGAGTAGGCACTCACTGTATAATGGTCAAATGACTAAACAATGCTGGACTCTAAAAGGTCATCTCGTTTGTTTACATACATATATAGTTAGTATATGATTTGTATTATTTAAGTAAAACCTGCTCATTTGAAATGCTGCTGTGGCTGGAGAAATCACTGACTTAACAATCCTTTGTATTTATCAAAAACAAAACTTGGGCCAGGTGCAGTGGCTCACCTGAGGTCAGGAGTTCAAGAAAAAATAAAAGAAAGAAAACAACACATAATCTGCTCTTGAATACCCCTAAAGAGCCAGGAAGCTCACCTCCTTCCCATGCTGCCCGAGACCGTCTGTGGGCAGAAAACGGAGGCCAATGAATGCCTCCCCCTTCAGCTGCCAAACAGCAGCCCGCTGGGCCCCAGTGCTCCTGGCAGCACCCCCAGTCCTGGTGGGGAGCTCTCCTCCAGCCTGGTGGGAACGCCTAGGCAGCTTCCACAATGCGAACCAGCTGGGGTCTTGCCCTGTGGGGATCAGATATTCCTATGGCCCAGTCCTGGAGCCGCCGACACAGTACTTCAGGACCCTCCCGGGATTTCAGCTAGGCATCCAGGTGGAGGCCAGAGGAACCCCACAGGCCCTCACAGCTCTCTCAATGGACCCCTCCCTGGATGGGTGGTGGGCTCCTCAGTGTCCACATTTGCTCCCATTTATGTTAAACAGATTCAGGCTTGTCATCGGAGGGTGTGCTGGTGGGACCCAACCTCGGGTGTTTGCGAGCCTTGAAAAAGGAAGAGGGAAAAACAAGCTCCCCTCATTCCCCGCTCCATCACCAGGGACGCCGGGGCTAGGAGCCAGGTCCCAGGCTCTCCGTGCCGGGCAGGTTGTGAGACCTTGGCGAAGCCACCACCTGTCCACCCAGTGGCTTCCCCATCAGAAGAATGGAGCGGAGGAGGCTGTGAGCCTGAACGCACTTCACCAATCACAAGGCCCGAGGTGACAGTGGGTCACTTTTATTCTATTGATTATTCTCCTGTTTATAAGGGGGAGGGGGTTTCTTTAAAATGCTTCTCCTGAGCCTAAAGAGCCTCCCCACCCAGCCCCCGTCAGAGGGAAGGGGCAGAGCATACGCGCCCCCCTGGCATCTCTGGAGAGGAGGAAGGATGGGGTGGGCAGGAGGGGCTGCCCCTAAGGGGCTCCCCAGGCTGGCACTGCCAGGCCTCTGCCCACTCAGTCCCTGCTGGCCCCTCTGAAAGAGGAACCAAAACCAGAAAAGAGAAAAGCTACTCCACACCTGGTCCTTAGGGCTGGGTCTCCCCCATCGCTGCCGCTTTCCTACCAACAGCCTCCTCTCCTCTCTGGGAACCTCGTCCTTCCTTCCCCATCCCCTTAGCACCGGCCTCTGCCCTTGTGGGCACCTCTGCCCCAACTGTCTGGCTTCCTGTGCCACCCGAGGGGTGCCCTGAGGTTCATCCTTCCTGCCTGTTGTCTAGAAGGCCTGGGGCGCTCACTGAGCCCACTCCACAGGCTCTGGCACCACGGGTCAGCCCTGCCTCAAGACAGGACACTGTCCTGGGGGTGTCCACAGCCTCCCACTGGACCTGCTCCCTCAGCTCCTCAACAGCCAGCCTAAGCCCAGTGGCAGCTCAGGCCTCCCTCTCCTGGGCCCCAATCTTGCCTCCCCAGGAAGGGTGGCCAAGTGCCCCCTCCATCAGGAGCGGGTCGGGAAGGTGGCCTCGCAGGCCTCTCACAAGTACATCTTCATAGCCTTGTGTGTCGTGGGGCAGTAGCGGGCATGGAGCTGGGCCAGCAGTGCCCTGGACGTGGCCTCGAACCGCGTGCCCTGGCTCTTCTTGTTCCACACGTGGACAGCATAGGTGGCATTGAACAGTTGTGGCAGCTCCTCGGGGTTGATGTCCTCAAAGTACTTCTTCCAGTCCTGCCAGGGGATGGGGTAGAAGGCCTCGGGGGGCAGGGTGGTGACGCCGCGGCAGGCGTGGCTCTCGGCCAGGCTGCGGATGGAGCACCACTTCTTGAAGACCCGCGTGAGCAGCTGCGGGCCCTGGTGACCCCAGATCCAGCCGTTGTAGTGGTCCACGAAGTCCCGCATGCACAGCGCCATGAACTCGTGCCTGCGCTCGAAGGCCAGGAAGGCGCCGTTGAGGACGTAGCGGGACTGGGTGCCCAGCACGTTGGTCAGGTTCCTCAGGTTCTTGAGAACAATGAAGTCGGTGTCCAGGTAGATGCCGCCGAACTTCCACATGAGTGCGATCCTGGAGGCGTCGGAGAGCACGGGGAGCAGGTACGGTTCCCAGCGCCCCTGCACAGCCACGTACCAGTCGGCCAGGGGTGTGTCCCGGAACAGCTCCTGCAGGTCCAGCGGGAGCATCTGGACATTCGGGAAGCAGCTCAGAAGTGAGATGCCCAGGTGCCGGGGCAGGGAGGCATTGCCACCTGGAAGCCCTTTCATCAGGACCAGCACGTGGGATTCGGGGTGAGTTCTGGCCGCCGACTCCACGGAGCACATGAACAGGAAGTTGGGGTTGGTCCGGTCTGAAGTCTCCAGGAAGAAGATGTTGCCCGGAGCAGGGCCATGGGAGGGTAGGGCGGGGGGTGCCAAGGTGGGGCAGGGAATATCTGCTGGCAGGTTATACAGCTGCCCTTGCTCCTTGGGCTCTCCCACAACATGCCAGTAGATCATGATGGAGACGAAAAACGTGAACTTGAAGCCGATGATGAACAGGGTGCAGACCCGCTGCCTTGGGGCACCCCGCAGCAGCCGCAGCAGGAGGTCGGGGGGCTTGGACATGATCTCCCCAGATCAGACCAGGAGCTTCCAGCAGGAACCGGCTGGTCTGCAAGAGATGAGTACCCCCATCAGGGAGGCCGTTGGCATTCCCGACCCACAGGGAAATGCTTCCTGTGAGCATCAGCCAGAGCCAAGGTTGGCTTCCAAGCCCATGGACTCCCGGGCCCACAGGGGTCAAGGCTTGAACCCCAGCCTGCTGGCTGCTCACCTACGAAATGGGAGCACAGTGGGCCATAGACTGGGGTCTGAGCAGGGTCCCTTCCACTCTCTGTGACACACCTGTAAGCTCCCCCAAGGACCAGGCCAGTGCCACCCATGGTGTGTAACCATTACAGGCCCAGGCCAGAGTCTGGTCCGCATAAGGACTGTCAGAAGTGATGGCTTCACCAGGTGACACACAGGGCTCTGTTAGGATTGGCAGCCTGGGATTTGAGGCCCAGCTCATGCCCGCCTCAGCTCCATGAACCAGGCCTGGGGCTCATCCAAGGACAGGCCACTGAGGGGTCCTGAGGACGTTCAGCATGAGGCCTGGGGCTCTGGCAGGCCTGGACACTGGCTTGCTAAGGGCTGGCCCAGCAGGTGCACTCACAGGGCACTCGTTCCAGGCACATGGGATGCCTACCGCATCCCAGAGCCCTTTGCTCCAGACACATGGGGGTCTCTTGGCCCCCTGGCTGCCCAGCCCAGACCCTGGGCTGTGCTTTTCATAGACACAGGTGGGAAAGAAACTGGGAGGTTGTGCCTTAGGCCATGATGCTGACTGGTACTACTGCCCTTAGACCTCTCTTTCTTGGTGATGTGCACTTGGCCAGTGCAGGAACATGCCCAGGTACCTCGCAGGTGGTTGGGGGAGCAGCAGGCTTGGACCATGCTCCTGGGGAAAAGACTGTGTGAACACCTGGGAGGCATGAGACCCCAACTCTGCCTGAACCGGCCGTGTGACCTGGGGCAAGTTACGGAGCTCTCTGAGCCTCAGTCTTCCCACCAGCAGGACAGGACGCTGGAACCCACTAAAGGGGAACATTCATTCGTTCATAATTCTATAAATACTGGCTGTCCATCCTGTCCATACCAGGTGACTTTCTCAGCATCTCACACATAGGAACATGTGTGGCCCCTTATAACCACGCTATGGCGTGGCAATTACCACCTCCACCCCACAGATGAGGAAATTGAGGCATAGAAGTACAGTACCTTGTGCAGAGTCCCACAGCCAGCAGTGACAGTTCAGGGGTTAGGTCCCAGGCCACCTGGCCAGGGTCCCTGCTCCCATCACTGCACCACCCTGACTGGAAGAAGTGGTTAGCCAATGTACCTGGTGTGTTGGAGGAACTTGGTGCATGCTGACCTGAACTGTATCGATGTTAACAGCCAGCGGGATCACCATTAACTCAGTGACTTCTATGCTCCATGACAAACTCACACCCCCGCTGGCCCTCAGCAAGCCCAGGGGGCAGTTGCATCGTTTCTACTTTAGGTGCCAGGAAACCTGGGCACGAAGTCAAGGGACTGAGTGCAACCTGGTTGCTAAGGGGAACTGAGAGTCGGTCCCCTTCCAAGGATAGGTAGAAGGTGGGGTGGCAATCTCACACAGGCTGAGAGTGGTACTGGGAGCCTGGGGCTTCGTAACTGAGGCTGGGCCCTTCCCAGGGTAGAGAGCCGGGAACCTCAACGATGTCACTGGCTGGTAACTGACCAGCCTGGGCAGCCCATTGCAAAGAGGTGGGGATCCTGGCAGTCTGCAGGCCTCCGGGAGACACGCCCTGGCTCAGCAGCCGACCTTTTTTGCCAACACGAACACGGCCCTTCCACACACTTGCAGCGGCTGCAAATCCATCTGCAAAAGATGGCAAGAAGAGAGTGAGACAGGTCGCTGGCTCTCAGAGGCCTTGTCCCCCCGGCCACACAGGCAGGTCAGGCCTGGGGCTCATGTGTTCACTGATACATTCACTCGCTCCACCTCTCAGGGGACACTCAGGGAACAGGGGCAGGCCCTGTACTGGTACCTGGGAGAAGGGGAGAATCAGACACAGCCTTTCCCTGAAGGAGTTCTCAGTCTGGTGGGGGCACCATTTAGAAACAGACAAAGAGGCCAGGCGTGGTGGCTCACGCCTGTAATTCCAGCACTTTGGGAGGCCGAGGCAGGTGGATCACTTGAGATCAGGAGTTCAAGACCAGCCTGGCCAACGTGGTGCAACCTTGTCTCTTCTAAAAATACAAAAATTAGCCAGGTGTGGTGGTGCGCACCTGTAATCCCAGCTACTCAGGAGACTGAGGCAGGAGAATCACTTGAAAACCAGGGAGGCGGAGGTTGCAGTGAGCCGAGTTGCGCCACTGTACTCCAGCCTGGGTGACAGAGCCAGACTCTGTCTCCAAAAAAAAAAAAAAAAAAAAAGGCTGGGCGCAGTGGCTCTTGCCTGTAATCCCAGCACTTTGGGAGGCTGGGGTGGGCAGATCATGAGGTCAGGAGATCGAGACCATCCTGGTGAACATGGTGAAACCCCGTCTCTACTGAAAATACAAAAAAAATTAGCCAGTCGTGGTGGTGGGCGCCTGTAGTCCCAGCTTCTAGGGAGGCTGAGGCAGGAGAATGGCGTTAACCCAGGAGACAGCGGAGCTTGCAGTGAGCAGAGATCGCACCACTGCACTCCAGCCTGGGCGACAGAGCGAGAATCCACCTCAAAAAAAAAAAAAAAAAAAAAAGGGCCAGGCACGATGGCTCACGCCTGTAATCCCAGCACTTTGGGAGGCCAAGGCGGGTGGATCACTTGAGATGGGGAACTCGAGACCAGCCTGACCCACATGGAGAAGCCCTGTCTCTACTAAAAATACAAAATTAGCCTGGCGTGGTGGTGCATGCCTGTAATCCCAGCTACTCAGGAGGCTGAGGTAGGAGAACTGCTTGAACCCAGCAGGCGGAGGTTGCAGTGCACTGAAATCGCACCACTGCACTCCAGCCTGGACAACAAGAGCAAAACTCCATCTCAAAAAAAAAAAAAAGAAAAAGAAAAAAGGAAACAAGACGGTGACTCCCTCAGGGAGGTGACACTTGGTGAAGCAGATGAGCAGGTCAGATGGAGGAGACAGTGGTGGCTCCAGACCTCTGCAAGCACCATGGGAACAAGAATCTAGTGTGCACCTGTATCTTCTCTCCCCGGCACCCAGCTAGGTTCCCAGCATGCAGCAGACACATGGGAAAACGGCTCACCCTGACCCACTCCCTCGACAGCCAGCAGGATGCTTTACAAGTACATCGGCCACGTCACTCTCAGCTTAGACCCTGAGTGATGGGAGGCCCTGACCCGCTGGGTGCCATGTGTACCCTATACCCGTGACCTCATGTTCTGATTCTCTCCCCGTCACCTGTGCCCCAGCCACACCTGGCTGCCTGTTTCTCAGACCTCGCACGGCTGCCAGGGCCTTGGCACCTGCTGTCCTTCTGCTTGGAAGGTTCTTCTCTTAGGTGCCCACTCAAAAGTCCCCTTCTCATCAAGTCCTCCCTGGGCCCCCTGAATTTCCAACTGACCCCATCACCTCAGAGCCCCCTCGTTAGTTTCCTCATCCTTGCACTTATTCTAACACACGGTACATCCTACTTATTTGCTTTGGTTGTCTAGAACATAACACCATGAGGATAGGTATGTTTTGTGTTTTGTTCAGCTCTAGAATAGTAGAACAGTGCCCAGCTCTTAGTACGTAGTCAATAAATAGTGACTCCATGAGTTAACCAATGAGTGAATTAATGATCAGCAAATGAATGGATTAATTAACGAGTGAGTGACCAGTAAGAGCGAACCAATGAGTATGTAGACTGCTGTGTGACCAAGTGGGCCAGTGAGAAAAGTGGGGGGCAGAGGCCGGGTGAGCTCCCTGGGATGCGGGTAGCAAGGACAGGGCTGTGGTGTAACTAAGACATGGTGCCCCCTGCCCCTGTCTTTCTTCTGCAGGGAGAGGGGCTATTTTGGTCCTGAGTACTTTTAACCCATGTGAACCACGCGAACAGGTGAACAGTTGGAGGTCCAGGAGCAGCAGCAGGGGCCCCTGCCTGCTTGGGGGCCCCGAGTGCTGGCATGATCTGACTCCATGGTGTAGGCGGGGTGCGGGCCCACTTGGAGGGGCAGGATATGTCGTCGGACCACAGTTGGGGGTGCCAGACTCGGGCCACGCCATATTTGGTGTCAGAGCCCAAGACCCAGGAATAGAAACTGTGTATGGGGCCAAGTTGGCCGCAGCCCAATACCCGGGTGACCTCAGGCCCAAAGCATGCTCCTGGCCCCCGAGACAGGCCTCACAGTTGCAGCCTATGTCCTGGGCCTTGTCAGCTGGGCTTGGCACACTCCTGCTGCCTGCCCCTGCCTCCAGGCTCACCACTTCCCACCCTGTCACCAGGGAGCTATTCCCAGTTAGCCTGTTACTGTGGCCACTCCCCTGCTTTAAGCCCTTCCATGGTTCCCACCACCAGGATCCCCCATGACTCATCTTAGGCAGGAAGTGAGGAGTGAGGAGAGGTGCAGGGCATGGCCGGGCGTGGTGGCTCACGCCTGTAATCCCAGCACTTTGGGAGGCTTAGGTGGGCGGATCACAAGGTCAAGAGATTAAGACCATCCTGGCCAACATGGTGAAACCCCGTCTCTACCAAAAATACAAAAATTAGCTGGTGTAGTGCTGTGC